TCTTTTCTTGTTTACGAGATTGAATGCAGTCTTTAAACTGATTAATGATATTTAAACTTGCATCAAAATTGTTGTAACTAATATGTTTTAATAAAATACACCCAGAATCATAATTGTATGCAATTAATTGAAGTAATAAATCACCTGAAAATATTAGATTTTTATATTTTGAATATGAGTTATCTAAATATTCTGAATTTTGTGTATTTGAAAATGGGGTTATTTGTTCATCGTGGTCATCTGTATAACATGAACAAATAACTTTTTGTAATGTTGTTACAAAATACTTTAAATCAGGAAATACATCTAATACTATAGCACTAACACTTTCTTCTGTATCTTCATTTTTATTAAGGAAATAATACCAAAATGATTTGACTAATCCCATTTTACTTAAAGAATAACACGCCTGTGGTCCAATTGAAGCTAAAGCATCAAATAATATAAAATATTGTTTTAAATTTTTTGGATATAACCTTGAAAACATTAATAAAGATTTTAAAGATTGATAGAATCTATACAATATCTCAGTTTCTGAGAATAAATTTACTGAATCACTTTCAGCTACCCATCTAATTGCTGTTACTATTAGTTCTGATGCTCTTGTTCTTATACTTTCTAATGAATTAATACAATACAAAGAAACAAAATCGTTTTGAATAACATCTTCTAATACTTTTTTACCAATTTCTGGGTTATTATAATTCTTCACACCTTCAATAACTTCATCAACTAATCCATTATTTTGTTCTCCTTCACCTAATAAAGAAAAAGAATATCTAAAACAATATATAATAGTTTTTTTCATTATTATTGGATCAAATGATTTAGATTGTTTAAGTATTAATTTCAAGCATTGGTTATCATGGTACATCACATCATTACTTATCTTTTCTTCTTCAATTTTTAATTCTTTTAAAATATCTTCTCCAACTTGGTCTCGACTTTGTTCTTCTTGATAATTTTTTTTTTCATAGACAAGTAAATACCCTCCAAAATCTTTATATCCACCATTCATATTTCTTGTTGCCATATCACCAGAAATATAACTAACTCTACTATCATTAAATTCTATCCACTTTCTATCATTTAAAATATACGAAAAATAATGTCCATATCCAGCATTTCCAGTATGAATAACAACACCATTTAAACAATATTCTCCATTTAAATTCTTATTTTTCATGTATTTGTTTAAGTCAAGAGTTAATGGTATTTCACATTTATCATTAATCTTCATAACATTAACATCAAATGAATCAAATCTATTTAATTGTAAAAATAGGTAATGAGGTAAACTTTCAATTTTATATTGTTTTACTGCATTAAAATACCTTCCATCATCAGTTCTTAATCTATTGTCTCCTTTAAAGAACTCTGGTTTAAAGAAATTACTTAAACATTGTTCTACATTTCTTTTTCCTTGAATTGGTAATGGCAAAGTTCTAAACTCTTCTTTTGTTTCACGATTTTCTTTTATAGCACTATCTAACGAATCAGTTTGTATAATAGTTTTTAGTGTAAATATCGGAAATATTTGCTGTTGACTTCCCTTATTCATTTCATCTTCTAAACAATCAAGTAACATAATAAGGAAGTCACAAGCATCATGTTGTTGAACTTTAAGGTCATAAACCTTTTTGTGTTTTTGAATTTCATCAATTAATAAATCTGCATTATAACAATCTTGACTACCACCTTTTAATGAAATAAATAATTTTTGCAACTGTTTTGTAACTTTCATAGTATCAGTTGATACTAACCTTAAAATTTTTTCTCTAAATTCTTTCATCATAAATAATTGTTGAAGAACTGAATTTATATAACATGTTGACCCAATATTTCTTATTCCCCTATATCCAGTTCTACTACTCTTTGGTACTATATCTAATTTTTTAATAATTTTGTATTGGAAACATTTGTCAAATACTTCAGTACTAAAAGTATTAATAAGATTCGAACAAATTTGAAATATATTATTAATTAAATCATATGAACTATTTCTTACTGACTTTAATTTATATTTTAATGGATTTCCATAACAATTATTAAATAATTTAGAAACAGTTAAACTTATCTTCTCTGGAACAATTTCAACTTTTGGTAATAATAAATTAGCAATTTTTAATAACCCAGTGATATAATAATCTGAATCATCAGTAAATTGTTCGTTTGGTTCAATGGTACATATTTTTTGAATAACATAATCAAATACTTCTTGAAAATCAATGACATTTTCTTTAATACTTTTAATCAATAAACAAATAGTTTTAGTATAAAAATACATTGCCCTTTTTGTTCCATAAAGTTCTAATGCATTAAATAAATCTTTTATTAATTTTTGTGTTTGATCATATAATAATATTGAATTACTTTGATAAAGGTTGACTAAAGAAGTTATAAATGATCCGGTAATGACTTGTTCTTCATCATACTTTTGTTGTGAATTGAAGTATTGAATAAGGAATTCATGAAGGTCCGGAACAACAATAATACTAGACCCTTTATTTCTTAATTCACAAATAGAAGAAGAAATAGAAATAAAAACTCCAGAAATATGAGGGTTATTTGGATTCTTAAGAATTATATCAAAACACTCATCAAAGAGTTCATAATTTTCTGTCACATCAAATGTTAATTGTTGGTGCTTACATAATTTATGAATAAAGAATGAAAATATCTTACTGAATGTTTCAATAATATCAACAATCAAATTACTTTCCCTTCTTAATACACTTCTGAATGCTAAACAAATTTGATCAAAAATTGGTTGTGATTTAACAATAATCTCCCTTAATAATGTTTGGCTTTTTATTGTATCTGTTGTAGTAGAACTTTCATTATCTTTTTCTGGAAACAATATTTTGTCAACTAATTGTAAAGTATATAACAATGTATAGTCACTCTGTTCTGTTAATAGATCGAATACTCCTTTTGGTCCGTATGACTCATTCATTACAAAACATGAATTAACTTTTTTCATTACTCCACTAAATGATGGTAAACTCATCATAATTTTCCATACAATTTTTTCAACTTCTTCCCCAAAGTGTTTTTTTAAACATTCAACAATTATTAATATTTCATCAGAATCTGAGACCAATCTAATAAATGAAAGGTCTACTTCTTCTTTTGGAACTTCTTCATCATCCGGAATATCATAAATTTCTCCATTTTCAAGATCTTTAGTATACGCTGCTGTAATAGATTCAATATCATCAAACAACGCTGAAAATGCTAAATCAACAGCATTTGAATAATACAAATATTTTTTTAAAGCACAATATGCAATTTGTTTTGATACTCCAGTCATTTCTACTAGTGTTTTAACATCTTCCATTCTAATTTCTTTTTTATAATATTGAGAAGATGGTAATTCATTTGATCTAAATAATGACCCATCACTTTCTTCTTTTGCCATTTTTAATATAATTTCACTTTCATTTTGTAGTAATAAATCACTAATACTTGTGGTTTCATCAAAATCATCAACACCATCAATTTCAATAGTTGATTTATCTACATCAATTTTAAATTCTTTCTCAATACTTTTTTTTATTTCTCCAATACTTAAGGATGATAAAATTTTAATTTGATTTTTCATAATAACTTTTTCTCCTTTCTTTATTATAACATTGAATAACATTGGCTTTCCTTTTAAAGACCTTACATGAGAAATTGCTTTTCCTTCACTAGTTGAAGTCCATTCAATTAATAAAGCATTTAAAACATTTAAATTAATAACCTGTTCTTTCTTTAATTTATCATCATGGCTCTGAGAATATAATTGATTATTATTTTTTATCCATTCTATTACAACTTTCCATCCAAATTGAACAGGAACTGATTTAACTATAGCTATCAACAGATCCATTGCTTTTTCTTCAGTAACTTTATTATTAGTAATAATCAATAATCGTTTTAATGGAATAAGATGAGCAATATCATTTAAATTTCCATTAAACTTATACCCTTCTCCATTTTTTATTAAAACTTCTTTATTTACTTCTTCAATAATATTTTAATAA